TAACATAATAATAAAAAGTCTAAAATTTTACAATATCAACCAGCTCTTATACAGATATAGATAAAACAAACAAACCCAAAGGCAGATTCACTTCAAGCTTAAATCATGAGGTGATAAGTTGGGGTAATTAATTTGATTTATGATGCCCATTTGTCCTTAGAAATCCTAAGACATTTTTCCTAACAGTTTTGCCAAAGCCAAAGAAAACACACTTTCTCCAGTGAAATGTCTTTGATAAAAATATTCTACTTTGTCTCATCATCTTTACTTTTCTTTTGGATATTATTATACATCTTACAAACACACACACACACACACACATATGTGTGTGTGTGTGAATAAAGACAAAAGGAAAATAATTCTTTACTGACACATTTCATCCTCTGATGGATTTAATCAAGGCAAATGTAAGGATTTTATTTTGCAAATGGATTTAAACTGTTTATTTTTTAAATAAATTTTTTAGTTATTGAATATTTAATTTTCTCTTTTATTTATTGCCAAACGTATAAATATCTCATGATCATAAGGAAGTCATTTTTTCTCATTGTTAAAGAATGTGTGTGTGTTTTCATTTACATGTTTTCTCTCTCAACCCCACATTGTCAGATTTTATTCTGTAAGTTAACATTTTCACAACAAAATTAGTATCAAGCAAACAATGTTGGTAAAATGTTCAGTTTATATTTATATTATGTAAGTTTCAGCTTATAATATTTATTCTCATTGAATATATTGATAATAACTTATTTGGAGGGAGTTTCAGTTTTTATTATGCAAACAATGAGCAACATGACTTTATTTATAAATATATCAAATACCTTAATAAAGTATCATTATATATTGATATGGATTGTTTGATATTTCTCAGTCTTTCAACCTTTTCATGTACTTCTTCACACAATGTACAGATTCCTCTTTGTGATATTTACTTAAAGGTGACAGTTTGGTTGCTTTCATGACTTTAGCCAATTTTTTTGATATTCTGCATCTTTTTCTCATTGTTTACATTTGCAAAACCCATCAGCTTCTTAAATATTTTCTTGCTGGTTAATCCAATTTCCTTGCTTATTATTCTTTTACATTTTCTCAAACATTTTTTGTGAAATTTTTAAGGTCAGTTTAAAGTTTAATTTTTTGGTTTTTATCTTGCCAATGTTTTCAATTAATTTTTGTTCTTTGATCCTTGTTAAACTGTTTCACAGTTTTTTCTATTGTATTACCAACCAGCAATGACTTCACAATATCTTGTTTCTCTTTTGAAGTTATATATTTTTTATGTCCATGTCAATCTTTAGATATCTGAAAATAAAAAAATATCAATAACTATAATATATATATATATATATATATATATATATATATATATGAGTGAACATTGAAGTCAACACTCAAAGGCGACTGATTCATGTTAGATGCAATCATCAGGCCACATGTGTTGGTTTTTTTCTCAACTATATATATGGGTCAGTGGTGCATTGTGGGTAGTCCATTCTAATGGTTATTTTGGTGGGAGTGGTTTGTTTATTTATTTGGGTTCATTTATTTTGCTTGATGTTTTTGAAATTTATTTTTATTTTATATATTTATTTATACTTTTTTTAATGTTTTAGTAACATAGTAAAAAATCTTTTAAAGTTTAGTTTTGATTGTTGATCTTTTTATCACCTCTCTCTCTCTCTCTATATATATATATATATATATAATCCATGCAAGGTGTATTGACACAAGATTTGAGGATTGTTTGTCCTGTGAAACTGAAGGTTACCATGCTGTGTTGATTCCTATGTCCACACTGTCTTTCTTTCTCTCACTCACACACACACACACACAAGACACATAATGAGAAAAACATTTACAGGATGTATTGAAGCAAGAAATGCAGAGGAAACAGTGATTAAACCACTTGTGTGAATGGATGGCATAACAGAGACAAAAAGGAATGGTAAAAAATCAAAAGTTACTTAGAGCAAAGAAAAGGCAGGATCCTGAAAGATCTTGATGCATAAAAGAAAAAGATATAAATTTACAATATGATGAATAACTCTGGAGTCGCATAATAAACTCTCCATTCACCAAATTATTGTAAATATTTTTAATAAATCAGATATTGTAAGCTAAAGATGCAGGAAAAATGGTTGGCACACCTATTTAACTAGAAAGTACTTGGCTCCTTCTGCCATGGTTTATCTTTACAAGAGCCAGATTAGACCCAAAATGGAGTATTGCAGCTATATACAGACTGGAGCTACTCAATCGTCGTTTTCCAATCTTGATAGAGTTCAAAACCGTCCATGTGGTTATGTAGCAGAAGACTTATTTTCTTCTATTAAATTTCTTTCCCACAGATGCAACATTGCAAGTCTATTGCTATTTTTATGGCAAATGTTCAGATGAGCTCATTTTTTTAGTTTCATCAGTTCAGACTTTTACTGGTAGGACACACAATATTTTGTTTGGGGCAGATTTATTCTCCAATTAGCAGCCTCTTTCTCAAAAAAGCAAGCTAGGACATTTACACAGTGTTTTGGTAAGAAGACTTATTCTCCAATCTGCGGCCTCTTTCCCAAAGAAGCAACATTGCAAGCCTATCACTACTCTTATTTCCATGGCAAATGTTCAGATGAGCTCCATTCTTTAGTTCCACCAGTTCAGACCTTTACAGCTGGGACTTTCCAGACTAGTTCCATGAAGTTGAATCACTCTTATTTCATGCATATTCCAAATACAAGGAAAAAGTTCCACATGGCTTTTGCCCAAGAACTTCTACTTTGTGGAACTTAACAATCTTAATTTCATCAAGTCAATGGACAATCACTATCTATCTTCCTTATCTTCATTTTCTGCCACTTCTTTTTATATTCATATCACACAGCATCTACTTTAGGCCTTTTGTTGAATGAATTTTTAGCATAAAAATATCTGAAATTACCATGGTATAGCATCAATTGTGAAAATCTGACATGGGTTATTGATGTGTGTAAAAAAATTAACTTTCTGATTGGTTTTATAAAATGTATATACAAAAGTGCACTGAAAAGTTTAGGATATAATCAACTTCCCAATATTTTGTGTTTGAATGGCCAACTATCAGAATACGGATTTTGAAAAAGGGCTCTTGGTTTGGCTAAAAAATTTTCAACAAGCCCTTTGTGCGTCTGTGTATATATATTATAGCATAAACATAGGAATCTGACAGTTTTACTCCTCATTGCAAAGCTTTGACAACTGGTCTGAAGATCACTTTGAGGCATGAAACTGACAGTCACCATCTGTATATCTGTAAATGCTCTATCTCTGATATTGAGAACCCACTCTATTCAGTCTCCTTACTAATGTTGTTCCCTGAAGAGGGAAGAGTTTGACAAAAGATTGCATTTTTATAACATCCAATGCAAATGTAGAAAAGGCAGAACAAATAAAGAAACTAGTCATCTTCTAAAAGCTAGTTTTGAGGAATAGAAGAATGAATCCCATCTATATAACAACTGTAAAGAATAGCATAGCATATGTAAGAGGAACAGTTGAACAAATGTAAAAGATTAGTCCATTAATATCAGGATGGTTTCCAGTAGCACAACCCACTCTTTTCAATCTCCTTACTAAAGTTATTCCCTGAGGAGAGAAGAGTTTGATAAAAGATTGCATTTTTATAACATCCAATGCAAATGTAGAAAAGGCAGAACAAATGAAGAAACTAGTCATCTTCTAAAATCCCAAATAATGTGGTAATAAAAAAAAGCAACTCAAAGTTCTATAACCTTGAATATCTCTTGGAATTCCCCTTATTGTTTTGAACATATTTCAATCCGTGAATTCTTTAGCCTTATTGGCCGATGTTCTGAATTTCAGACTTTTTGGATAGTTATCTTCAACATTGTTGCTTTTAATGTTTTCGCTGGTATATTCTCCAGCCTTGCTCAGATGTATGTTGCATCTGTTCTTAAGAAGTTATTGAGTACATTTTTCTTTACTTTTATTTCATTCTTCAATTAAAACACCACAGTTTAACACAACAGACTCTCAGGACATGTTAATGTGACACAATTGATTCCCCATATGACTTATTGAACACACATGATGTCAAGTGGGCTCTGAATGTTTTTTTTTTGAGTCAGAAGTGTGTTTTTTTTTAAATGCCTGGAAGATTAAAGTCTTTGAAGTCGAATGATGTCTGGGGTTCAAAGTGACAACCCACTTGAGCAAAGAGGAAGAAAATAATAAAGAAATAAATGAAAATGGGGATCAAGTGACACTTAGAAACCAGATGTTTCCACTTGCAGCCCTATATAAGTAGAGGCCCAGTTAGGGGTAGACAGAGGGAGAAGCTGTCCATCCAAGCAGTCACATTAGTAGCAGCGACTCAACTAAAGTAAGAAGATGAGTTGAAAAAACCTACTACCAGAGAGAATACTAGGTGTGACTGGGAACCGTATTGAAATAAATACCAAATTGTTGAGAACCAGACTCTTGTCTTCATTGATGTAGATTTCATCTTCCATTTGTTGTGAATGTGCTGTGACTCTTTTTCCAGTCTTTGTACACACTGGCACAAAAAGAAGTGAAACTCAACATGGGGGATCAATTGATTGGTAAAAGATAGGGGGGGCTTCATTTACATTAATCTGATTACAGAACATTGGAAAGGTTCTTTCTCTTATCAATTAATTAACTTATTATTTTTTTTTTTTACTCCAGTTATGGGAGGTATTAATGAGTTCATAGTCAAATTGGAGACCTTAATTGCTTGAATTAGCTTTTCTGAGCACTCTCTTTTACATGCTGTCAAAATTGACCTTTGATTTTTTTTTTATGCATTTTTTTCAAAGATTTTCATGTGTGGCATTTTTCACTTTCTTGACTTCCCATTGGGAATTCTTGTTATTTATTTTGGGAGTGAAATGCTTCAATTGCCATCTTCCTTTTTATGTACAAAAAAACTTCATTCTTTTGTCAATATTTTCCTTGTTTTATTTATTTTCCTTATTGTATTTTTCTAGTTTAAATAAAGAAATGTCTTGTAAAAAAAGGAAATACACCAAGACAGACACAGAAGTTGTGGAAAGTAAATATTTTGTCAAAAATATACACGACAACCCAGTAACCGAAGAGAGAAAGTTTAATCCGGAGGAAAGGCTTCCTGCAACATTTTACCAAAAATCGTGTGTTGATTTGTGTCGTGCGCTCTTGGGGCAGTATATTGTGCGAAACTTTGAAGATGGTTCACAGGTGTGTGCAAAAATTGTTGAAACAGAAGCATATTGTGGCATTGAAGATGCCTGTTCTCATTCCTATCAAGGAAGACGAACAAATCGGACAGAAGCCATGTTCATGCCTCCAGGAACTTTATATGTTTATACCATATATGGCATGTATGATTGCATGAATATCTCTAGTTGGGGTGAGTTGATTCCTTTTTAAACAATTTTTTCTTTTTTAAATTTTAATCAGCATCTATCAAATACTTTTGTCCTTAGGCAGGAGTAAAGAGATGGCAACAGTAATTTTCTTTTTGAAAACAAATGCAAAATCCACATAATGCTGCTTATCAGTATGGGAAAACAGAAGATGCTTTTAGGAAAGGCATAAATCCATTTCTCACTGTGCTTTTATCACTAGCGATTTTAAAAAGAAAATGTCTTTCTGATTGTCAGTTAACTTAGCTTAATTTTGTACAGGACTGCCTTAGGTGAAGAAGAAAGATTGTGTTGTGCTAGCCTTCAAAGTAGGTTTTGTTTGTTTGGTTTGTTTTACAGCATATCAACCTAAATGGGTTATTTAATGCAGACAAAAATTTTTATTGCTGGTAATATTTTTTTCTTTCAAAAACGTATTGCTGGTAATAATTTTTTTTAAAGTATTTCTGGTATTAAAACCTATGTTAACACTTTAATAGTGTTTTGACCCCCTTTTGAGGGTTAACTATTTGTCCATAGCTGGGACCCTAACACGTGTGACCACTTTGAGTCAGGGTGAACCTGGGAACACCAGCAATTAAGAGGTGGTTCCACGCCCCTTAAAACCTCCTGATCAGAGGACATAGTTTATTGTCTTACCCAGGATTGTTCAAAGTAGGAAGGATTTGTCTACTTGAAATTCTAGTTTCAACCATAGATTGAACACTGACTTCTGATTCTAGTAAGAAAAATGCAACTACACAGGTAAATCAGGAAGTCTGTAGCCTAATAATGGAAACAGGTATTTATTTTATACAAACGTTTTTCACCATAATCTCCTTCTTTGTCAATGCACTTAATCCATTACTTCTCCATTAATCACATAAATTATTATACACAGAAAATTTCAGATCAAAATTTAGTTAATAACTGTGTCAGGTTAAGAGCTTATTAATCCAACATTGTACTTGAATTATCATAGCAGACTTCTATATTAAGAGTGTGCAAATGTTTCCAATATTTTTTTTATTTATTATTCTATTTTTAATTAAAAATAAAATTTTTTTTCTTTATCCAGTCTAGGAAATAAAGCACTGAAAACTTTTGCACACACCTTAGTGAATAAAAAAAAATTAGTAAGCATTTTTTATATTTTGTGCAATTACTCTTTTATTAAACAGAGGCAAAAATCTGTGACAATAATATACAACAAATTTGCTAAATTGGTGGTGTAAGTATATTTAATTCATTAAAATTTATAAAAACCAACAAAATTTTCAATGAATTATGTTCTTTGGAATGGTTGGCAAATTGTCAGTCTATTTGAACTTTATAAAATGGTAAATAATAAAGATTTCATTATAGTTGGTCCACATATTTTTATAAATTTAGGAATAAAAACATCGCTTTCACATTTACTTCTTTATAAATTAGAAATATGATGAACATTGCATTGTATTATTGGTTTGCATTTTCAGAATGTAAATATAAAATTATTCTTGTAAATAAACAATCTAATAGTGTTTAATATTTTTTTCTTATAAATTCTCAAAGAACAAAGAAAATGTCTAAAGTCACTTTCATGTTTGGGGTTTATTAAAATTCTAATGACCACTTTTTAAAACAAACATTGCCAAAGGAGTGAAAGTAGGACAAAATAATAATAATAATAATAATAATAATAATCCTCATTTTGATAAAGTCATTTATTGCTGGCATTAAGGTTGAACATTGCCAATTTTGAAAACTTTTTTTTCTATTTCAGACCATTTTATTGGTTTCTGGCAAAACTTTGAATATAAATTATCCAATATTTGAATACTTTTGGCTTTTATATACACTTTATAATTACTTATAAAGTCACTTACATTGGGTAATTTATATTCAAATTCTGTAAATCTGTTAAAGATTTTTTGTTTATTTTCCAAAGAAATTTTGTTGGCTATTAACAAAACTTGTGCATGTATATATATATAACCATATAAGTTTGGTTGAAAACGACTGACAAGGTGAATTTCAGCATCCTTTGTACAATTTAAATTAGTTCAGTGTCTTAAACTGTTTCTTCAAAATATTGGTAAATGTTTTACTTGCAATAAACATTGGATTTACTTTTTCCTTTTCAGGTGAAGGTGCAGCAGTTCTTTTACGAGCACTTGAACCAGTGTCAGGGCTCCAAAAGATGCATGAACTTCGTTCTACTAAAAAAAATTCTGGTTCCTTGAAGGATAAACAATTGTGCAATGGACCTTCAAAACTATGTCAAGCCCTTGATATAACAAAGACGACATTTAACAAAGAAGATTTGCCTACCAGTAATCGTCTCTGGCTTACAAAAGGGGAGGTAATCTCTGAGAAAGAAATATCTGATTCAAAGCGAATAAACATCACTGGAGATGCAACATGGGTTAATAAACTCTTACGGTTTTACATTACTGATAATACATTTGTTTCAGTTAAAAGTTCCAAACCTAAAATGAAAAAATAAGACTTTTTTTTTTTTTACAATTAAAATACTTTATTTTTATAATCATTTTCAATGGAAGACATATTTGTTGTATATTTATTTAAAAATTGTTAACTAAGCCAACTTCTTGATCACTCCTAGTGCAGTGGAGAATATATATCAATCGTTTACATATTGCTCAATAGGGTGTCTAAGACATGGGGGGGGGGGGAAGAAGCTTATTTTCATGTATAAAATGCACCTAAATTTAGAGCAAAAAAAAAAAAAACAAAAAAAAAAACAGATCAAAACTTGTGAAAAAATAAAAAAATAAATGGGACATTTTGTTTACTTATACGATTCGTAAGCATTACAAAGATGTGATAATAACTCAGGGTCACTAAATTGCCAATAAACACTGAGAAAATAAGTCGAAATAACATTGTAGCATATATTGTCGGTGAGTTTGTCATTATCAGTTGCTTTCTTGACCCCTGTTTCTGTATGAATTCCTCATATAAGATGTCAAGCTTGTTTGAGATGCAGCATTTCTTGAAGCAGTGTCCACTTGCAGATGTCTGAAAGCTCTGATTTTCTCATTCTGCCACTTGATATGTGTGATTTATTTCCCTTTGTTGCAATACACCACTAGATAGATATTATCATCTCTTCAGTAAACAAATAAATCCAATTTTGTCTATTTTGAGTACTGGAAAAAATGAGATCAAGTTCTAAAGTAAAGTATGAGATGTAGCAGGCTTTTGGGCACAATTTGGGATGTGGAAAAAAAACAAACAGATACACACAGGATTATGGTATATACATTTGAGTGATGTTCATTGGATCACCCAAATGGTAGTGGATATGAAATAGTTTTTAGGGTATTCATTACCAATGTTATTTATGTCTGCAATGACCCTGTGGTGGGACAAGATATGAAAACATGATACATTAAAAGAAAACTTAAACTATTGAACAAGTACAAGACTCTTATGTCTAATCATGGAAAAGATTTGCAGTCTAACACTTATGAAGAAGGCTGTTCATATGAACAGCTTTGTAGCAGGAATTTGATACTCTTCATTGCCAATTTGATTCCCTAGAAAGACTTTATCTGTTTTCAATTTTAACAATACTGATGTTAAAAGAAAAGAATATAAAGTTCAAGACATATCAATGCAAAACAAAACTTCCCAAACTGAGATGATAAAAACTCATTTCTTCCCTACTTGTTTATGTAATGTTTGATTGCTTAATGCCTTTTAAAGGATTGACAAGACAATGTTAAAATCTGAAAAAGAGGGGATATTATATTGTGTCATCTTAATTTCTTTTTAAAGAAAAACAGTTTCACATTTCATGACACACACGTGTGTGTGTGTGTGTGTAAGGTTAGAATTTAAAAAATAAAACACATATCATTTTGTTTCTTTTCTGGACATTTGAATTTATTTTCAAAATGGAATCACATTTATATCACAGTTGTTCTGTAAATGAAAAAAAATAACTAAACAAGCAATAAAAACAAATTTGCAGCACACAATTTGGGTATGTGCATGCATGAATACATACAAGCAATGACTAAAGGCCATACATTTGACTTTTCTTTTATAATAGTCTGTTTACTTTTAAAAGTTTAAATTAAAAACGTGTCTTGAAAGGCAGAGAAGCAAATGACAAGGAATTAAAAAAAAAATCTAAAAACAATAAAAAAATTATTTCTCGAGGAATTTAACATTTGTTTTGTATTTATTTTAGCCTGGAATTTTTTTTGTTTTACTGTTAAGCAAAAAATCAAACTGAAAAGTTATAAATTTAAAAAAAAATTCTTTTGATTTATCAATTTATTTTGCCACAATTTCAGACTAAAATAATCTGTGAAAAGGTAGTTTAGATTGCTGTAGTCCTTAAAAAAAATTGAAAAAAAAAAAAAAAAAAGAAGAAAAAGTTAGTCTAGACAAATTACTATACAAAGATAATGAAAAATGAACTTTCAATGGAAGATGGGATAAATTTTAGGAGAAAGCATATTTTTGCTTTGACCTTTTAAATTATTTTCTTAATTAAAAAGAATCACATATAATTAATGAAAATTATTCTCAGATAAGACTAAAAAACAATTTTTTTAAAATCATTAAGTGCTGTGATTTTACAAATTTCATTTTAAAAGATTGTATGACAATTTTCATCAAGGAATGATTTTGCTACTTGGTGAAGGCTACTAAAAATCTGATTGCTTTTGAAAAAACTTTACTGTTCTAAACTGTGGTTAATGAGCATCCCATAATATAAACAAAATGAACAAGTGATGCCGAAAAGTCGCTAAATATATCTGTTCAGTCTTGAAAGCCATCTTTGTATGAATAAGCTATTATGAGATGCAAAAGTTAATTTCTGACAATCAGGATTGCATAAAACTAGGAATCTCCACTAATTCAGTGAAAAAAAAACAAAAAACAAAAAAAAAAACCTAAAAAACAAAACAAAAAAGCCTCAAACTTAATAAAAACAAAGTTTTATTGTCAAAATGTTTCTTATTAAGATCTAAGTACTTTTTAATTATTGTATTACATTTTTTAATCCTTTCTAGCATGTTTGAAATTGTGGTTAAAATTTTTTTTTTTCTGTCAGCAGTCAGTTTAATTTTTACTATTGGTGTTTTAGCACCTTTTTTCCAGTAAAAAGAAAAGAAAAAAATCAACAACATGGATTTGGAAATTCTTGCAGAATCAAATAATTGTCAGATTTTAATAAAACTTTCAAGATTTATTCAGAAATAAATGAAATTTTTTTTTTTTAACCACAGATGTTATGAACATCCCCCCATCTACTTAATTTTAATTGAAAAATATGTTTTAGTTAAAAGCAAGACTCCTTGGAGAATGTAAATCATAATTCCTTTTTTTCAAATTGATACTCATTTCCTGAAAATCTGCTCTGAATCATAAAATATGCAATAAAGCTATGACATTTAATTAGAAAAGATTTGAGAACACTATTGACTTAAGAAAAAGATTTTTTTGATGAATAATTAATTTTTACAAGAATTGTTTTAAGTTTTTTAAAATTTTAATTTATTATAATAATTTATATACAATTCTTTAAAATTCTGCATTACTTTAATTGCATTAGGTGATATTGTTAAGTGAAAATTATATTTACTAATCACAAATTGAAAAACTTAATACAAATCATCATCCACCAAGATTTTTCAAGTAATATAAAATATGTTACATACCCATTTTTAAAATATAGTTGACCATAAACAATATTATCAGAAAATAAGAGCGATGATTATATTACTATAATCCTTGCTCTTATTTAAAGAGAACATTCCTAAAATTAGATTACGGAGAATATTTTCCAACATTTTTAAGATTACTGAATACTTAAAAATTATATAAAAAAAGGTGCTCGCATCATTTTCTTGAATTATGTTTTACACATAAAGTCTCCATGGAATAACAATAAAGCTGTTATCACCAGTCAACACTCGTCAATCATGTAAATATTGTTAGTTTGTTTTAAAAATGTATTTCTGTGTTATTTTAAGTTTAAAGTAAATATTTGTTTCAAATCAGATTAATTATACTTTAATTAGCTAATATTCCATAAATAAAGTTTCAGAAAAGTATATTTTATTTTTGAAAGGTTTTTTTAATACAGAGAATTACATTGCAATGAAAGATGATGAAAAATGGGTGGTAATCAGCTATTTGGGGGGAATGGTTCCAATCAATGTAATTTCTGTTTGAAATACACCAGAGTATTTTGCTTACTGGAAACAGTAAATTTAATCCTTTAGACTTCAATTAAAGCTAAAATGAAAGCTTTTTCATTTAAAAAAAAAAAAAAAAAAATTTAAACTTTAGGTATTGCAAATTAGTGGTGGTCCCTACATAAAACAGTTTGGTATTTGACAATGCACCAGAGATGCATTTACCTATTACTTAGATTTTTATCAGTAAAATATTTTGTTAGAAGTTTTGATTTCAGTCTGACATTTTGTGAAGAATCCAATTCCAATAAAAAGAAAAACTTTAGATTTTCTAGTTTATGTTATATAAAATTAAAAGAGTGGGGGGAGAAGATATCACACACATAAAAAGGCTCAATAAGCATTTTCTAACATGCTTTTTGTAAAAATAAATGGTGATGGTGGAAAGAAGCATTATGGGTTTTAACTAAATTTATTGTGAGTGGGCTATGGATCTGTTTGGCAGGAAGATTTCATTAGAAAAAAAAAAAAAAATTGTTAACCAATTTCCCTATTGTAAGAATATTTGTGACAAAACATTAACTTCTTTTATATTACCTAATGTTAAATTGAAAGATCCTTCTGAAATTACATTAAAAAACTTATTTATATTAAAGAATTTTACAAAACAATTTAATAAAGAATTAAAGACAAAGAATTAATCTATTCTTTATTTTGTTTCACTTATGAAAAATGCATTTCTCAAGATAATTTCAGATGTCAATTTTGAATTAATACTGATTAAATACTCTATTTTATGATAAAAAGAAATGCAGTTTTGATGATTAGCATCAAGACAAATAAAAAATTTCCTTTTCAATTTTGAAATCACAACACAATGTTACATAGCATTTTTCATGAATGAAAATTTTTTGAATAAATTCTCGAATCTCTTAATCACTAGAGATCGAAATTGAAAATCAGAAAAGTTGAGATTTTAGAAATATACATAATGATAGGGATTTTTTCTTTATGTAAAAATGATAAAAATATAGACAAAAAGAAAGAAAATGAAAGTCAGTGACTAAAATTTAGTTACTTATTTAATACTGAAAAGAGAGGAAGCAATTTTTAGATGCATCAAAATAAATTTCATGCACTCATAAAGGATAAAACTTTGCAGTTTTCTCAAGTTGCAAGACAAAATTGATAAATTGGTGACATTGAAACAAGTCAATGTGGTTCTATTCTTAGTAAAGAGGCAGTAAATTGTATCAGCAGCCATTAAAATTTATTATCATGTCCATTTTATATAAAAAGACATTGAACAAAGAATAATGTCTCAATATAAAAAAAGGAAGTTTGATGACCCCTTAAAACCACATTCAAATGTTATACTAAGAGTTTGACTTGAAATTTCATAAAAAAAAAAAAAAAAAAAAATTGATTTTAGCTTAATTTCACCAAGGAAAGAAATCATCTGACTTGTTTCGAAAGATCAATATGAAATCTAGTGGTAAATTTTTAAATCTTAAGCCGAAATGATTGAATAAGTTGCAAGAAAATTTCCTAAATTGCTTGCATATTTATGTTGACGAGAAGCATTTGTGGTTATGCATTTATAATGCAGATCTCAATTGCCAGTACTCTAATAATGTAGCCTTGTGCAAAGTTGGTCTAATAAAAAAATGTATTTATATCAGGGGGGGGGGGTGTACATGGGAATGGGTTGAAAATGAATAAATAAATAGAGCTTGATTAACAGTTTAAGTTTAAAAAAAAAAAAATTAATATAAATAAATTTTTGAAACCTTAATAAAACCGATAGTTCACTTTTTTCAATGTAAATTACTGGCATAAAAAAATACTTGTAGTAATCTAACCAGGAATATTAAATATTTCTGGGAACAATGAATTTCTTTGAGTTGATAAAACTGGATTCCAGGACAAGGCATAATTATCAAGAATTCCTCCAAGTGGCATTCAGTTGCAGTCAAAAACTGTAATTTAACATGATTATTATGTCCCAGGTGAAAATAAATATTAAAAAAAATTCTTTTAAATTTGTTTGACGATGACACATTAAGTAGAATGATTGTTTTTCAACTGCAATAATTTGTATTAAGTTCAGCATGTGAACTGCTCCATTGCTTTATTTGTAATTATCTACAAAAGATAAATGTACCAAGTATAATGGTTGCATGTTGGCCAGTTAAATGATACATCCAGGAAACTTAGCTCATGCCTGTCATTTTCGATAAATCTCATTTTTCCTAGTTTAAATGAACATTAGATAATTATCATTCCACAAGTTAAAAAAAAATGTGCTAATTGTAGGAATTTATTTTAGTGAAAAGAAAGTCCTAATTGGTCAAAACTGCTTGATAGAGGATTGCTTTTGGGAATGTGATAATTAACAAGGCTGTCAACTGATTGCATTTATTCTTTTTATCAGCAGTCATCAGTTTTTTCAATTGTCTTTACATGGACAACTATTTTTTTTTTTTTATTGTATTCATCTCTCATCTTACACAAGCAATAAAGCTATTGATTTACATCCTCATACATACATTTATTATATGTTTCTACCAAATGCTAAAAAGCATGTTGAAGCAGTTATGTCATAAGTAATTTCTAGTAAATTACTTGCAATAGAAAAAAAAAATGTATCAGTGGATTTCCCTGAAATTTACACGAAAATGACTATTCTGAAATAATAGAAAAAAAATGAAACTTCAAAAATAGTTTGATTTTTGGTTTGACAAATTTCTTTTTTTTTTTTTTTTTTTTTTTTTTGGCAGAAAAATAATGCACAGTAAATACATTTGCATGTGACAATGATTTGATTTTGAAAATTGAACTCATAAAAGTTAATTTAGAATTTTCCTATCAGTGTTACCTGATGTGAAAAGATGTGGCAGGATCTTCATGAGTGCAAGTTTCAAGAATGTCATGGAAGTTATCTAAAATTGCTATTACTTGAGATCGTCGTAGATTTTCATAATACATAATTTCTTCCAAGTGATGTCTTCCATCAAAATAACAACACAGACTGAAATGATAAATTATGAATAAACAAAAATGTTTTTAAATTCAGAGCAAATTTCCATGACAGAACATTTTATACATATAAGAAAAGAATACAGTATTCTAAGAGTAATACAGGAAATTAGTTTAAGCTGATCACTGGTACAAGGTAAATTCCTTTGATTGATCAAGAAAAAGTTTTAGATGAATGGTAGCTAGCAAAATACTGCCCCACCTACCAAAAAAAAAAAGCACAAAAATTCTTAGCTTCATTTGAAAAAGATTTAAGATTATCATCAATAACAGCTTATTTTAAATTTCATATTTGAATAGCCTTTTCAAATCTCTTTGGTTTAAAAATTTTTTTTTAGGAAAGTCAATGAGATATTTTTTTCAAATTCAGAAGGGTAAATTCAGAGCAAATTGCTCATTTCCATTTTAGACTGAGTCAAAAGTTTCCATGAAATTTTGAGTTATGGCAAAAACTTCAAGACATTTATCCACAGCTAAAAAATTAAAAAACTCATGAGTTATAGGAGCAGACTTAAAAACTACAAGTTTATTAAAAATTTAAAACTGGTTTAGTGTCTAATCTATGATTTGAAAACTTGATTTTTTCCAATTTATTTGCATTGTTTTAACAACTTAAGAAAAACTGTATGGTTAGAATTAAAGACCTTAAAAAAAAAAAATAATAATAGTTATTTCTAATATCTTTCAACATATATTGTGCTATTGCCATCTTTTACATAAAGCTGCTATACTAATTTTATTTTAGGTTACACTTTATAATAAATTTTAAGTTTCAGAATTTGAAACCTTACCTGGCAAAAAGCTTTAAGTCTTCAATATTACGAGAAGCTGGAAGCCTCAGGACTGTTTCATACTCCTCTGGTGTCAAGTACTTCAACATAGTGTCTCTGAGGCCTTCACTTAAATTGAGTACATCCATTGATGTAGAATGAGGAATGCCCAGGTTGACACTCTCATCGCTGTTTACTAAAAAAAAAAAAAAAAAAAAAAAGACGAGACAGTGAAGAAATTAGAAAACAAACTGGCACAAATCTCACACAAAAGTATTTTTTTTTTTTTGCATGTGCATTTTTTCTTTTTTACTCTATCCAAGAAACAAACGCAAACATAGTAGTCATTTTCTCATCATTTACATTTGTTCTTTAGCACAAAAAGCAGAAATGAATATTTCACATATTGGCTTGATGACGACAATGTTATCAAGATGCTTTACCTTCCATTTGTCAGATAGAAATTCTATCACACAAAATTTAAAAGACACATTATGTCCAGCTTCACAATACAGGAAAATATTTGTTGACAACACCAATATACTACACCATGAAAATAATAAACAAAAACTTAAAATTCTTAAGGCCCTCTATATTGAAAACAACCAACACTGAACAAAATTTATTACGAGTCTAGTAGCAAAGTTTTAAAATGTATTTGATCAACATTTAATGCTATTTGCATTTTTTACCATCTCTGGTTAGCTTCCTTATATTGTGGCCACCTTTTTGACAAAAAAAAAAACTCCATACCATAGCTACAATGGTTAATTTAAAAATAATTATAATAGAGTTTGTTCACCAAAATCACTATCACAATGATCACAGTTACATTAAGTTTGTCTTTGCAATTCACTCCTGAGGACGATTTTGGAGAAGGAATATGACTATATTATTCAATGAAACATGCTTGAATGAAGATATGCTGCCTAAATATATATCTCAAGCATAATGACCAAATTAAATTTTATTTTGGGTCAACTGCTAATAACTGGAAAAAACATTTTGATCATCATAAAATGACCCTTAACAACAAAAAATATGCAAATGCCACAGCACTATCTAAGTTTTATTGGAGTATCAAAACAGATAGCACACCTGCAGTAAATTGGGAATTGGTTGCTAAAAATCAATCCATTCCCAGGCAGGGGGGACAGGTGCAATCTAAGTTTACATGAAAAATTATTCATCCTAAAAAATATTAATAATCTACTACTACTAAATAAATGGAATGAGCTTATGTCTAGTTGTATGCATAAAAAAATGTTTCTCTTAAAATATTATAATCCTGGATAACCCACTCTCCGTCAAAATTTTAATTTTCCATCCACTCTTATTTTAAGTCATACACCGATTACCTCCCTTTAACCAATCAATCCGTTTTTAGTGTCCATCATTCAAATTTTAAACGTACTTCAATTCCCTTTTTTGTTCTCTTATTGACTCATATCTACACCCTATTTCCTGCATTTAAACCCCAATATTACTTTTGTACTATTTTAATTTTGAACTATGAACCAGCATCCACCCCATGAGCATACTTTTTTTAAAATAAACAATAAGCTATATCTTGTGCCCAATGAGTTGGGCAACCAATGAAACTCAGGTTGCACATCAAATATAAGTATATGTGTATTTATTAATATATATTCCTTAGCTCTGTCTAATCACATTGAGCACTATTATGTCTACACCTCTTGGCTAAATTTGGTAATTATCTATTTGCTTACCAGTGTAAGTACACGTGTATATGGCTGCTAATTTCTGGTTATCCCATATATATATATATATATATATATATATATATATATATATATATATATATATAAAAAAATATATAGATATTTTATATATATATGTATATATTATAAATTAAGATTTGGAATTGCTGTGAACATGTTTTCTCAAAATCTATTTAATCTTCGGTAAATTTTAAAAGTTACTTTTAAAATTCGGGTTGAAGATGCACTAAAATGCTTTTAATTTATTTGCAAAATAAAATTAGGGGTTTTAGCTTCTATTTTTAAGGAATTGTGTAGCGAAAATAACTATATTTTAAATCAATTAATTTATAATATTATATATATATATATATATATATATATATATATATATATATAATCATAATTTCTCAAAAATAATTGCAATCATTAAAGTTAATTTTCCCTCACATCTAAACTCTTACAATAATTACAGTTTATCCTTTAGATTTCCAATTCTTAAATCAACAAATTTAGTCAATGCATAGATAACATAAAAAAGCTTATTTGAATTTTATTTAATTATGTTGAGAAGCAGTGAAGAGATTTTTTTCCTTAGTTGATAGAAAAAATAAAATGTTATTAAAAAGACTTTTGTACAAAAAAAAAAAAAAAATAGCAATGAAATGAATGAAGGAAGAGATTGATTCTAATAGAATCGATTGGGATAGGCAAATGATTGATATTAGTTTATTGGCTATTGTTCAAGGACTGCTATATTATACTGCAATGTAAATATATACAGAATGCAGCTATTTATTAAGCTTAGCTAAATCTAACAAAGCCACAACAATGAACGTGGCTTGAACTGATTCTGAATGGAAATTGATAACTGTGCTAACCACTGTGCAATATGGAGGAGATGCCCTTAAATACAAAACACAACCAGTTATGAGAAATTGTGTGAATCCTATAAAAACTGAAACTAAGATTTAGAAACTATGTTACCAGAAAATTGCAAGAAAATAGTCAAGACTATTAAATGACCTATTCTTCAGTAAAGAGCATAAATAGTTGTATGTAGACTATATATATATATATATAAGTCTACATACAACTATTTATGCTATATATATATATATATATATATATATGAAAAGTATTAATTGGTATCTGATGGTTTTCTTTCTTAACCTTTATCACTCTGTATGTGACTTCATTTGCTGTATAAAAAGTTTCTCCTGATATTGAAAGTAACTCTGATCACTGTGTTTGAATTTCATAGATGTGTTGTCATATCCTTCTATGGCAACAAAAAACACCTTTGAGTGAAATTAACAATAAGGATACTGTAATTGAGAGGCCTTGAAAAAGAATGCAATGGAAAGGGAAGTAATATTAATAATGCAAATGGCTAAAAGGTTAAAAAACATGTCCTTTAATTAGTAATTTTAAAAAGATTAGTAGTTAACAGATAGTTTTGATCCATATGCATACATATGGCCTTCCCTATATTTTTGTACAGTTTGACATTTAAGTCATTTACATAGGTACATCAATAAGTTTGTAGCCTAATGATGAAAAAAACAAAATAAAGCATATAATTTGCCTAATATCATTTTAATATAATTTCCTTTATCAATGCACTTAATTCAGTAATAAATATTAATCACAATGAGTTAATATTAAACAGTAAATATTTCAGATCAAAATTCATCTGATACTCAACAACTTCCCCACTCCAAAGAAGAAAACCTGAGCCATATATATCTGGCAAGTTAATGTTAACCCAGATGTCGTAGGCTACCAATATTTGTTTCCAAACCCGTAACCTCCATAAAACTGTAATATTAAATGTAAATTATGAGTTATCAAATATGGTATCTATCAAGCTACAGACTTATTGATCAACCCTAAGGAAATCCTGAGAGAAAAAGTTCTGTTTGAGAATGAGCATGTGAAAAATAAGTGTTTTAAAAGAAAATGCTGCAAACCAGAAGCTATATCTGAAGAGCTCTGTGTCCTCTCAAGAACACAGTTTTCGTCAATGGTAACATCAGGAACACTCCTTCCAAGCAGACACTGGGAGAGAGGCATAGATGACAGAAGAGAATCAGATAGCTTTTTCTTTTTACTCTTTTGCGTGGGCAGAGAAAGAAATATGTAGGTGTGTAGCTGTATGAGGACTTGATGTTGTAACATCCACACTACTAACTTGCATTTCTGACTCTGAAAAAAAAAAAAAAAAAAAAATTCTCTGGTCAGTCCATAATTATACAAGCAGAAATTGTTATTCCAAATTTTGTTTAATCAAATGAACTTTCTTGGGGATTTAATGTTTTGACCAATTTTCTCAGCTTTCCTCAAGTGTATAACCCATAAGAAAAATGGGTAAATGAACACAAGGGAGGAATTCAAATGTCAGAACAAATTTAGAATGTTAAGGTTTTTTCTCAAAGTTATAGACGTCAGATTGTCACAAGCACAAATTTTGTTCTTAAATTCCTTTTACAATCATAAAAAACTGTAAAAGTAATTTATTTTTGCAATAATCTGTTAAAATGGTGCTTTTATGGGATTGTAATGTATAATATCAACCTTATGTCAGTTATGAAATCAAAATAATTGGCAGGAATACAATGCAGGGAAGTTTGGGGTTCATGCTTTTCCAAAGATGATTAATACAAAAATGAAATCAGCAAGTGACCAGGGATTTATCTTGGTTCAATTTTCATTAATTTGGGAATCTTCCAATGGTAGATACACAAAATACACACACATTGTTTTGAAAGTGCAGACAATTTATGTTCTTATACATGAAATGTAGTATTAGTGAAAAAGAATTGATTCTTATTGTTAGGCACTTCATTAACATGGTCATTTGTATTCTAAACACATACACACTGTTTAAAATTTGGTATATTTGTGGGGGCACTCAATATCAGAGTGGCTGTATATATAGTGTAGACATAAAAATCAACATTGCATGGTGACTGTTGGTTTCATGCCTCAAGCAATCTTCATATTATATAATAGTCTGAGGATCACTTGAGGCATGAATCTGACAATCGCTATGCAGTTGATTCCTATGTTCACACTGTTTATATGTGGACCATGGAAATAAAGTTGCATTTTACCTGTTTCTGAGAAGTGTCAATAGCATCTCGGTATTCACTCATTCGTATGGGTAAAGAATATTTGGCTAGAACAACTGGTAAAGATTCATTGGGAAAATTTCTTTCAAAAGACTTGACCAAATAAACATTGCTATAAAAAAAAATAAAAAATAAAAAAAAAAATTCATTAAATTCACATGAAAATTTTTTTTTTTTTTTTTTTAAATATTGTGTATTTCCTGGCTTTGAATCACTGGTCTCATGTACACACTCCAATTTTAATTTGTATAATTTTGAAAAAAAAAAAAGAAAGCAAGACAAATCATTATAGTCTTAAGCCTGTAGAAAGCAGGATTCATTTTGAGATTTATTTCAGGAGAAGAGTCTTTGATGTCCAGAAATACAGTTTAAGTCATTTTCAAGAAAGCAAAATATTTATTTTTAAAAAATCATGACACTGTATAGTATCCTTTTTCTGTCTAATTCAATAAAAAGATTAAAGTATCACCAAATTGAATCATTTTGTTTCTATTTAACTCAAAGATAAAACAATCATTCAATTTTTACTCATGGCTTCAGAGATCAAAAGCATAAAGAAACATAGCTGATAAAGAATATAAAAGATTTTAATCATCTTGAATTTAAAGGCAGAAAAACTTTATTCATCTTAAATAAGGAGGAGATATTCTTCTGTACTTTTTCTTTCCAAAAATATTTTTGAATATCTTAATGAACAAAAATATCCTTTCCCTCTTGAGGTTCTGATATGTTGCCAACATGTGATATCAGAACGACGCTCATTATTACTTTCATCACCATCCAAGTCACTACAAGAGCATGAAGACCAAGAAAAAATATCAAAGTTCTTCAAAAGCATAGGTACAAAGTTTCATCATGAATGATGCCATTTTAAATACAACAATGGAGGTTTTGCAGAGTTATTTAAGTCACATTTACCCATCACTTTTGTGCAGGAAAAATATATTGCATATTTTCATGACCTGTTAATGTGTAATATCATCAATACTGTGTGTGGCATAAATACCTCTCACATAATGGTAATACATTAGCTAGATGAAGGTACCATCTCCACTTGCCTATGTTCACTAGCAACACATAGGTGACACTTTAAAATGGGGGAGGTATTTCTGCTGCACCCTGTATATTGTCAGGCATTGCAAGCTGAAAAAAACTTACTTGAAAACTTTTAGTTCTGTTTTGTTTAGTATTTTTTGAAAATGTGGTGCACTTTGCCATCAGCTTTCAAATTAGATATTTAAACAATTTTGTTATTACAAATGTCATAAACTAAATGTGTGTGTAGTTGGTATGGGGGCATGAAAGATTTACTCAAAGCTTTACATACCTATCTATAAGTATCTCAACTCAAACCAATAATGTTTTATACTAAATCAGACGTGGTGCATTAAACAAATTTCAGGGTTCCCACAGATCTGTGTAAAAAAAAAAAAATTACTGGAATTTTTCCAGGACCATGTTAATAAGTTTCAAGGACTGAAGCTGGCATGTGTGCATGCGTACGCACATACCAAGTGAATGATCATCAGTTTCAAAAACACAAATCTTGTGATTTATGTTTTAAAAGTTTGACAAATGAGATGTCCAAAGACAAGCTACAACTGGTTCCAATAATTCATGCCACATGGATCAGTTGAAAGCAGTGAAGAAATCAAAGCAGTGAAGTCTAAAACACAACTGAATGCAGACCTGGTTATGTTACACACATTTACTCTATTTTATCAGAAACGGTTCAATGTTTTTTGAAACAGACACAAAATTCTGCAGGAAATAAAATGTCATTTACATTTTACAGCATTGCAGAAAAGTCTGGGACTTTTTTTTTTTTTTTTTTTTAATTAACTTCACAAATGACATGTGGTCAAATGTCTAGGAGTCATTCACATGTTTGTACATTTTCTAGCCATCTATGACAGAAATACAGAAGTAATTAAAGGGACAGGATTGCCAGATTGAACTTTACACATAAACAAAAACTAGAGATAAAGATCATTATTAGCCTGCAAATTTGAAAAATAACATTCTTATTTTTTTTTAAAGACGCATTTTCTATCTTATCCTAAGACACATCAAAGGCACATTTTCTATTCTATCAACCTTTCCATCTACATTTTCTCTGAGTTAAATTTTATTTCAAACTTGTTACTTTTGGCAACAATTTAGACAAACAGTTTTCACATAGATGCACATTGACATGGATAAAGTATCTTTTTTTTCAGCATGAACTCACCCACCACTGATGAAAGATCAAAAGGACTTTTTACTTTTGAAATTGAAATGTGAATAAAATTTCTTCAATTGTTCAAATTTTTAAAACTCTGATAAAATTTTGGGATTCTACTAAAATGTATTTTATTACTGTAAAATAATTCATTATTTTGCTTTCAACTACAAATTCAATGAGTGTGAATTATTTATCTTTGATAGAGATGTTTACATGTCTCTGACACCTTTTATCTTTGCTTTTCCTCTTTTCTTGTTGAATGAGGGTAGCAGCAAGGAGAAGACATGCCTTCATATTCTTTCTCCCTTTCTTTCTTGTCACCTAAACAAGAAAATACAGAAGTAACTATGAGGTCATGAACTCTAATCAAGGAAACAAGCCACTGTTTGCAATAATTGCTAAATATTACTGATGACTAAAAAAATATATTTTTCTTAAAGGACAATTTTAGCTTCTAAAAAAGCCAGATTTCTGGGATTTGGCATTTAGACTTTTATGAATCGAGAAAAAGGATGTGTGGGTAGCCTAATTTAGAAAATTCAAGGACTCTTCAAGCTATTTTGGGCTATTGCTGTTTTTTCCAGGACTTTTCAAGCCCTGGAAAAGACCCTATCAATTTTCTAGGACTTTTTAAGGTTTCCAGGACCTGTACAAACCCTGAAATTCATTCAAAATTCAATATCAAACTAAGTTAAATTTGAATAATTGACTGTGTAAATACATAAAAAGGAAAGAAAAAGTGCCTTTGCCAGTTTGTAACCATGAATAAGAATTAACTTCATTACTAATTTGACCAAGGAAAGAAAATGCCTTAAGTTACATTTGTTCAAATATTCCAGTTGATGAAATTAAACTTCGTTTTGAAATTGTGACTGCATTTTTTTCTATCATTTCTCCTCAAAGTTGTCTGTGTGCTTGTATGCATCCATTTAGTTGATTAGAAAGATAGTGAAACAGTACTTACGTGATAGGATTGGTATGAGGTGACAATACATACATATTATTCTCACAAAGGGGAAATATAACCATGGCTTTTGCCCAGTATACAAGATGGCTGACCAAACGAAAAACCTATTAAGGAAAAAAAAACAAAAAAACTAACTTGCTGGATATGGATGGATATATATATATATATATATATATATATATATATATATAAGTTGAAAATGTAAATGTGAGGATCTCTTACCTGGGATAAACTCAAGTCAGTATCAAGTGAGAGTGTTTTTAAGTTTTTAGTAGGATTTATATAATGAATTAGACGTGACAGTGCTGGGGAGTTGTCAATTGGCAGAGATTTCAACAGTGTATCACTGTCTACTAAAAGAAGCACACCATGGTAGGGTCTGTAAAAAAAAATTGAAATTAAAATCAATCACTCTGGACTTTTGCAGTGACAAGACTTGTTTTGGTGGAAAAAGATACAAATCCCAAATAAAATTATCAGTAATATAATAAGCATGTCAGTTTGTTTAAGCATCTCACACCTACTTTGGACATGTTTATTTAAAAAATAGCTTTTGTATGCCTAGGCTGACTGGATAGTTTATTACTGGTCATGGAATGTTTTGGAATATAAACATGAGATTGTACATTGCTGGAAAAGATCAGAATTTTTTTAAAGTGTAGAGCTCTGAGAGTGTGTTCAGGCTAAATTTGACAGAGTTTAATGCTTTTATTTTTCAGATTGGTTTGGAATATCTGTAAACAGTGAATGGTATTATGAAACCTAGTCACTACAGTTTTAGAGTTTGTCAAAGTTAACTGACATGGATGAGTGGAAGCCACCTGAATATTGGGAAAGGCTAACCTGCATCATGATGATTTGTGCTGAGCATCAAAATGCTGCAATCATGATAGTGGTTCAATCCTTTTTCAAAATGATAAGACATGAAATGGAGAGCTGCAACGGAGTCTACAAAGTTGTGACTTGCAGGAAATAACACAGATGATGTTCTGTTTGTCTCCTTACACCAGAATTCATTCAATAACTGCAGGAGAAAGTGATAGAAGATCTAGGCAAGGGAATGTGGGTTTTGGCAAAGGAAATGGGTGTTGCAATTTGCACCATGAAGCCTTGAATAAAGACATCCACTACAAATCATATAAGAAGTGTAAAGGTCAACTTTTTACAGAAAAGTCTTGAGAAAACTGTCTGACAAAGAAACTCCTGTTGAACTTGGGACAATCTGGTTCTTCTCTGATAAAAAGAATTTTTGTCAGGATCAGTTACAAAACACTCTGTACAAAAGATGGTTTACCTACAATCCATATGTGCCACATGTCATGAAGACCAAGTTTCCCCAAATTGTGATGGTTTTTGGGTGGGTCTCCAGTAAGAGTGATGTCATGCCACCTCACATCTTTGAACAGGATCTCAGGCTCAATTTGTATGGCTATGTGGAGTTGCTGAACACCATGGCCAAGTCTTGGTTGGAGAGGTTGGCTGCTGGAAGACCATATGTGTGGCAGCAAGATTCAGCTACTTGCCACATCTCCAGGATGAGTCAGAAGTGTTTGTCAGATAATTCACTTCACTAGCCCCAATGTCTGGACCCTTAACTTGGCTGATTATAATACCATGACTTATTATGCATGTGGCATGGTTGAGAAAAAATTGCCAACTGGGCTACCTGTAACACCAAGGCCCAGCTGATTGAAAGGATCAAGAGGTTTGAGGCTATCCCTTGGGACACTGTGAAGGATGCATGTGGCAGATTCTGTAATTGGTTCGAGGCCGTGGTAAATGCTGAGGGTGTAATCTTTGAGTGAATTGTTTTTTGACTATTATAAACTGTTTGCCATTTTTCTATTTTTCCAATAAATTGATTTTTGGTTTAGATATTCACTTTGTTTTACATTAAAAAAAAAAAAACAACTGTCAAATTTAGCCCTGTAAGTAAAATAATTTTGTTCACTCAGCTGTTTCTTATCTGCACTTCATGAAATAACATCAACTTTCCGATTTTGACTACTTGCCTTAAATACGTTATCTTCCAGAATTACCTTGGTCATCCAGTTTTTGGTGAAATATATCTTTGTTGTTTTATAAACAAAACTTTGTTGTTTTATAAACTGGTGACTGTCAGTTTCATATTCCAAGTGATTTTCAGATCATCTCCACAAATGGTCAATCTGATATTGAGTGCTCTTCATAATTAAATATAACAGTTTTTAAACAATATATATGATAAAGCCATATTGCTTTTGTTTACAATACGGCTATCAATGTAAATATTACAACTGTTGATAATATTGGGGTTTTGTTCATTCTGCTGGCAAATCAACAAAATATTTCAAGCTTTAACAGTAGGCTTTTATCAAACCTCATTAATACAAAAATGAAGTTTAGGTAGTTTATAATTTGATCTTTAAGTTAACCAAAGAAATGCTAAAACATTAACAAAAAAAAAAGAAAAAAAAAAGAAAGAAGCTGTTCCTAATCATATTTGCCTACTGCTGGGAATGTTCCATATTTTTTCTCTTTCTGCCTTAGTTAACATCTGATAGACTCCATGTCTTCAAGTAGAGATTGCTAATTCAAATGTTCATAGTTTAATTTTTTTATCTGAAAATAAACTTTTGCAAGGTCTTTTATTACTTCTTTTCTGTTCTTACAACAGGAATAATAATCAGAAAGAATTGCAGCTTCATCATACAATAAATGGATAACAAGCTCATCTAACAAACAAGTGTCACTGTTTCATGAGTTCAGTTATCACAAAAGTTATTTACAAAAGTGTTCACTTTGAGATAAGCAGGGTGAATACTTCTATGCTGTAGGAAGACTGTGTCTAGGTTGTAATAGAGCTATAACAGTCTGGCTCAAGACCATGACACTTGGTCACTTTATGAGAATTTAATTCACTAGTAACAATCTATCAGATTACCTTGTTAAGTATTTTTTTATGGTAGTCATTTATGTTGAAGCTCTAGTAAGAATTGTTTGCCTTTTTTTATGAATATGAAAAGAAAATATATACTCATAATTTCTATTTTACATAGGTTATTTCATCACATTTTTAGTAGATGCATTTGCAGGATTTCTCTTTTTATTACTGGAACTCAAGTCTTATTAAATGATTAATTTGATCTAACCTTTTGATTTGGATTTTGTTATTCTTGCAAAATATTTTCTTTTATATAATTTCAATTAACTCTTACTACAGTCAATGAGTTTGGAGAAAAATCAAACACAAGAAAATCTTTCTTGAGTTCTACTCCAGAAAAAGTTCTTTTTTAAGAATCACAGCATTCTTGATGAAATTAATGTCATCACTATAAAAGAGCATCTAATTCTTTTATTTGGTTGCATGTTGAAGTAAAATATTACTTACCTTAGTGAATGTAAGCACTTATGTATGGCTTCAGGCTAGAATTAAAGAATATTAAGAATCAGCTGAGCAATTTGAAATTGAAATAAAAGGAATTTGTCACTTATATTGACAAATTGAAGATTTTTCATTGGATAAAATATTTCACTAAAATGGATTTTTAGAAAATGTGGTTGAAAAAACAATGTTCAGTGTTTTAAGGTAGAATTAACCTTTTTGCACTTTACATAAAATTTGCACTTCTTTATATCAATTGGAATCAGGTAAAAAGAAAAAAAAGCATCAATTAAAGCAATTGATAATATTTTCTCTCAAGTACAGACTTTTATTAAAAAGATTTTAATAATTTAACTTTTTATATTCTAAAAACCCCATAGAAAGATTGTAAACTAAGAGCAGACAATGATCTGACAGATAATACATACACACACTTCAAATAAATATGGGTCTCAGATGAAGACATGAGCTCATAGAAAACACAATCATCTCAATTTCTGCTGTGTGTTTAAGTATCAGTAAGTATATACAGGGTGCTATTGATAAATTGTCTAAATTACGCAAAAATAAAAAATAACACTGACATCTCATTTTAACAAATAAATTTACCAAAATTACACAAAAATATCTTGAAATGCTAAAGTTATTAAAAAAAAAAAAAAAAAAAAAAAAAAAAAAAAAAAAATCGCCATTGCCTTCAAGCTTGGCTCCCAGATTACTTTGGAATCTCCTGCAACTCTTCTGGATGGTCTCATTATTTAAGTTGGTGAATGCTGCCATAATCCTTGCCTTCAGTTCATCTTTGGTGTTACAAGGAGTTTTGTTGGTCTTTCGCTCAACTGTACCCCATACATAATAATCAATGGAGCTGCAGTTTGGAGAGTTAGATGGCCAGGTGTAAGGGATAATTTGATTGCAGAAATTGCCTGACAACCATGAATTGGGTTATCCTGCTTGTGTAGCACAGTGCAGAGTCCTGTTGCCAAACATAGGATCTTCCAACAGCCACCCTCTTGACCCAGGGCAGCACTACCTCCTCAAGGCACTTAATGTAGGCTTCCGTGTTGAGTCTGAGGTCCTCATGAACAAACTTGAGAGTTCTTTTCTCATCAGAATGATCAGAGTGAATTTTCCAACCTGCCGTACCTTCATAATCACCATTAGACTCATTCAACTCTTTCTGAATCCTCTGCACTGTCCTCAGATTGACACCCAAACACTCTGAAATGTTCGTATTGGAGCTTCTGGTGTAAATGCCAAGCTACTTCCCATTTGAATTGCATAATGGTGCTTTTTTTTTTCTTGCAGATGGTGCCCAACTGACCCTACTATACTCTGCAGTCGACAAAATCAAAAACAATGTGCATAGATGAAATTAAAAACATAGAATACCCATTGCACCCTGTACAGTCTCATTCAAGGAAAAAAAAAAAATAAAAAAATAAAAAGCTTTGCAAAAAAATAGAAAAAAAATAAGTGGTTCAACTTTATCTTGCTAAGTGCAGGAAAAAGAAAAGTTTTAAGATCTTTGAGGCTCAGTTTTTTTATTTAACTCTAAAATTCAATAAAAAGTTAGTTATGACCCCCATATTTGGAGAATTATTTTAACATATCAGGAAGTTTAAAAGAATTACCGTTGGAGCTTTATTATTAAAGGAGTTTAGATGAACTCTGTGGGGCAGGCAAAAGTTGACCATCACCCAGTGGTTGATATAAAGGTGGACAATACCATTCCGACACAAACTATACAAGGAGAAAAGAAAAAAGGTAACTTTTGTAGGATTTGACAAAAGAAAACAGCAGACACAAAGTGCAAAAAACAAATATATATATATAAGTAATTTCCTTTAAAAAAAAAAAAACAAACCCAAAAAACTGTTTCTGTGCCTCTCAGAACAAGAAGCATTACAATGAAGAAAGAGCAACAAAAAAGCAAGTATATATTTAACATGCAGTCTCTAAAAGTGTTTTGTTTAATATTTTAAGGTCCAAGCATTAGGAAACTAACCAACTATAATGACCTGGAATTCTCATAATATTTTATTAGATGGGTCAAGAGTCAGTTAACTGCAGCATTCTTTTATCATTTACAACCACTTGGATAAATTGGGTTAATTGGAAATTTATTTTTACTTTCATGCTAAATTTTAATAGGAATTTAAAAACACAAGAAAATTCTCTGTTTGAGCAGCTAAAAGGTTATTTTTTTAAGAGGAATTGTTTAAGGTTTGTCACCACTTTAAGAAAATATTTAAAGGTCATTTTCTCAATAAAAACTAAAATCTGATTCATTGTGAGCAGAACTTACCTGTCATAAATACATTTAAGTTCACGAGCAAGTTGACTGCGTTCTAAGATCATCTCATAAGGGCATTCAAATCCTAAGAAATGAAAGATTTTAAACTAAGAAAAATAGTCAAGACTTGCAAAGAAATTTGTCTGTTGTGTGAGTGTACACAAACACACACTCTCTCAATTTAAAGAATACAAAGAAATGTAAAGGAAGTAATCACATCAACCCTAAAAAAATGCTGTGTGCTAAGCTCAACACCTTCATATTTTTCAATATTACATAATGTAGTTTTCTATACTATTTTTTTTTAAAGAAAGTAAAATAATTAGTCAAAGATAGTATTCTTTAGAAAATGTGTCAAGAAACATTTTTATAGTCTGTCAATGTTCAGTTATACTCCAGATGTTTTCTGATTTGCAATTCCTATTGCCAACATACATTCAAAGTTTGACTTTAAGCTTTTTCTTATAAACTTTGATGCTAAAGATCTGTGTTGTTACCTTCAGGCAGAGGTGTCATTTCATCATGGACTTGCTGCATGGCTTTGGTTTGGAGAGTGAGGTAGTTACAGCGGCACTCTTCATGGCGAATGGCAACTGTGATTTGTTTGGCAAGGTCCTGGTAATAATTGACAACAGTTGTATCCACGGAAGCCTGAATAAAAAAAAAAAAGTTAATTTCTTTTACTTACATACATAATGAAAAAAAGAAAAATAGAATTGTTTTGCAAGATATATTTTTCAACAATCTCCTTTCTTGTCAATCCACTTAATGCAGCACTTATCCATTAATCAAATAGACTGAACTTTATACAGCGAAAGTTTCAGATCATTGAACCAATAATCAATCAAGCTACAAATTTATTTCCCTTCTTATGTGTATAGGTAAGCATACATAAATTTAAGAGATTATTGTGACTTAGTAGGTTTGTGAAGAATGGGGCCATGTCTGCTTATTACATTGGGCTGACAAAGTCACATCAGGAATCATGTTCAGGGACATCAGATTCAATGTAAATTTTACTGTCAAAAAGAACTTGATTTGTACTTTCTCCAATCATTTTCTACGTCCTGTGTCTCCTTCAAGATGTCAGTTTTCATGGCTCTCTACAATTTCCTGTCCTTTGTAGTTCTTAATTAATTTTGTCTTCTCATTATCTCTCCTAATGCCTATTTTGTCAACAATTTACACAAGCTTGTTAGGTAGGCTATACACTACTTTCCTCTGTCTCTCTTGCCTTCAATGTCCTGTGAGTGTCAAATTTTCTAAGCACTCTTTCTTCATTATGTGCCCTAGAATTAAGCATTTAAAAAACACATCTGGTCTCACTTTGCATAGGAAGGTACATAGAATTAATGATGAAAACAGAGTACAAACCTTTCTCCATACTAAAGTATGCATCATTTGAGCCTAAAAAATAGAAAGAGGAATTGATTCAGCTCATGTGTTTGTGAAGATGTGGCCATGTCTGCTTATTCCAAGTTGGGCAGACAAGTTACATCAGAAGTCATGTGTAGGGACATCATATTGAATGTAAATGCTATTGTTAAAAAGAGGACTTGGTTTGTACTTTGTGTCATAAGCAAAGGAAGAACAGGTCTGGTCTCATTAGCCATGGGGAGGTACATAATATGAATGATGAAAACACAGGACAAACAAATGTCCAGTGTGTGTATGTATGTTTGCTAGCAATGTAATAGAAATTTTAAAAGCCTTTCTGGTTTTAAGAGTCATTGCAGATGCCATGAGCAGGCATATAGTTATAGTGTAAAGATGGTTATCCTTGTAATTGAGTGGACAGCCTACAATAAAGGAAGTGCAGAATAGTATACTGATTATTAAGAGAAATGGGAACAGATTCACTTTGCACGCAAAGAAAAAAGCATGAATTCATTTCTTGCACTGTCCTATTGCTTGGTATTTTCATACAAGACTGGTCACTGGCACATCGAAACAGTTGAATTAGAAGTAGAGTGGGTGGGTGAGTAGTTGGATAAACACACTTTGCTACAATCATTTTACAAATATTTTAAGAAACAGATATTAAGGCACTTCACATCTAGCACAGGAGGCATGGTGACGTAATGGATAGTGGCTCGGATTGAGGAATCGGAGAGCCGAGTTCAAATTCCAGTCAAATCCATTAAATTCACTTATGTGCTACTACCCTTGGGAAAGGTATGAATCCTCTTCTCCCCCCCAGCTATGGGTAAATAGCAGGACAGACCAGGTTCTATAGCCTTGGATGGCAACTGGACTACTACAGAAAGAAATGGCAAACTACTATGGGAAAAAATCTGCCTTGTCAGTCATGTATCGAAAGATATACGATCGCCTGTGTGTATCACGCATGGCACATAACTGACTGACATCTGGCACAATTATTATTAGCCTATTTCTACTAATATTTAATGCCAACATTATTTTGGTCTCCTAGAATGAAGAGTACATTGAATGAAAAAGATAAATTGAAAGTATTTTGCTTTTTAGTGAATCATCATGTGATTGAAACATGAATATTTTCTTAAAACACTTCACAATTGAAGCTGGTGAAATCATTTGTTACATTAACAAAGTGTTTCAACAAAACTAACAAAATCAAAAAGCCTTTGTTAATGTAATAACTTGAAAAGCTGGTGCGAAATTGCCAAATAGTTTTTAATCTTTAATCTTAGCCAAAATCTTTACTCAAAAGTCACATTGCAGTGCACAAGCAAAAGAGTTAACATTAAATGCATGTGGGGGTGAGGAGAATAGTGGCAAATTTGAAATGATGATATCAAGCATTTTATTTAGGAGCAAAGAGACATCACCATTTAACTAGCATTCCTTAAATCAATGCAACCTGCTCTCCTTGTCTGGTACCAACCAATCTTTTTTTTTTTTAAGAGTTAATTTCATTTGATATTAACATTGTGTCATTGAGTCCCATCTTTTAATGAATGAACCAAAATTTAGTAGAACATTGCATAAAGAATATAATGAAATTAGCTAAATACAATTTTTGCTGCCACTAAAATAAAAAAAAACAATAGACAAAATAACAAAAAATGATTTTAAAGTATGTAATCAATTCATAGAAATATAGCAACAGTTTAAACAGTCTTCAGTTATTTGTAGGCAAGAATTTTATTTTAAAAGTGTTCTACTTCACAACAGAATAATCAGCAATTATTTATTTATCTGATTTATGGATGAAAAGAAAATAAAAAACTTACCCTCAATACAATAACTACATTGAAGGATTGTATTGTCTGGACCATTTTACTGTTGGGGTTATGCAAATGAAGAGGGTAGCCAACAAATCGAACATCTTTGATTTTGACATCAAAACGCTGACCACACAAAATGGTTTCAGCAGCTAACAATGTCCCCAGGGTTTGGATGTTGAAGCCAACAATATTATGACTCCTGAAATAAAAAAATAAAAAAAATGTTGAAAATTTTCATAATGATAAAAAAATGATATGCATTTTAAACAAAGATACAAATATGAGAAGTAAAATGAATTGTGCTCTTGAAATCTGATTCAGCACAAGAAATTCTTTTATGTGCTGTGTCCCTTCAGGATGTAGATGATCATGGCCCTCTACATCTTCCTGCCCCTTGTAGCCCTTAATAAGTTTTGCCCTTTTGTTATTTGCTCAAGCCCATCATGTATGTTACGTGCTGCTGCTCCGTCCCTCAATCTGTCCTGTCACTATCAGATTTTACAAGCCCTCCTTCCTCATTATGTGCCCCATAAATTTCAACTGACTCTTCCTGATGTTAAGTATAAGACTCCTTTTTGTTTCCATTCTCGTTGTTGCTCACAGGTTTGGATTATGGTATCCCCAGCATCTTTCTGTAGAGCCACATTTCTATTGCTTCAAGTCTCTTCCTTGTCTTTGAAGAGATTATCAAGCATTCACTGCCATACAGAAGGACAGATATTCAGTACTCTTTTCTTTGTTTCCAATGAAATTTTTCTGTATCTTAATACTTTACCTAGCTTTTGGAATACATCCTTGGCCATCCCAATATGCCTTAGTATAGAGTAGAAAGTTTTGATTTCTTCTTCTGTGTTTTGTGCTGTCAGTGCATACACAGTCATAATAGATGTGTTGAAAGGCTTTCCTTTCAGTTTAACTACAAAAATTCTTTCAGAGCTGACTATCCCAGAATGCATTTCTTCAGGTCTTGATCTAGTATCGATGCAACTCCTTTTTCATTTTTCTCTCTGCCTGCATATATAATCTTGTGCTTGGCACTGTAGGAGGCATGATGGAGTAAAAGATAGCGGCTTGAGTTGAGGAATTGGAGAGCTGAGTTCAAATTCATTACATTCACTTACATGCTAATACCTTTGGGAAAGGTATGAATCCTATTCTTCTCCTGCCCAGCTATGGGTAACTAGCAGGACAGAACAGGTTCTATAGCCTTGGATATCAACTGGTCTACCACAGAAAGAAATGGCAACCTACTGCAGGAAAAGAATCTGACTTGTCAGTAATGTATTGAAAGACACATGATTGCCCAAGTGTGTATCGCACATGGCACATAACTGATTGACTACTTGTCACTGACAAAATTTCCATAGTTTGGCCACCTAGTTTCAAATACTTCTAAAATGTTGAAATTTAACCTACTCATCTCCTCTTATATTTATCCAACTGGCCACAGTTAATTAACGCTCTAATGTTCCATGTAAAAGTCAAAATACCTACTCTTTGTAAATGCATCACGTGTGTGTGTGTGTGTGTGGGGGGGGATTTGGATCTTCTCTGACTGTGGCAAGGACCTATCTTACAAGCAAGGGAGGGGGTCAAATTTGCATATAAAAGTGACTAAGTTCATCAGCTCAAATACCAGTTTACCACCCAAGTAAGACTTCTATTAAATATAATGTGATCAACAGTTAACCTTAAATTAATGTGCAGGTAAACAGTACAAGACAGAAATTTAAAGAAAAAATAAAGAAATAAAAGAAAGAAATATGTGAATTACTTGTAATACAAGGTAAAAATTCTACAAGTAACAAAAGCTAAACTCATATTTTCAAAGTCATCCGTTTGTCAAATAGAAATAGAATCTATCAAAACTTATATTTTTGTGAGTATGAGGATTTTCAGATATCCAACATTGTATACAGTTGAAATCTTTTGGCATACTAGACTTGATAATTACAATAACTTGCTAAAAGTTAACCTGAAACTGTCCAAGACAGAGGTGGGTAAATACTTGTAAAAATAATGAAGGTATAATTATTTACTATGTAAAGGAAAAATAAAAAATATTGCTACAAATGTGTTGGTATAAATAGAATATTTATGCTTTTTTCTGTCATAACAAATAAACAAAAATCTTACCCCAAAAGAGTTTCATTTTCTTTATTCGACTCACTTTCCTCACTGAAATATAAAACAAAAATAAAAAGGAAAAATCTAATATGGAGCGATTTTTAGGAAAAGTCAAAACTATGCAAAATATAAAGAAAGTGTCAAGTTTTACTAAGGAAAAAAAAGCAACATTACTTGCATTTTTTCATAAATATGTAAAAAAAAAAAAAAGAAAAAAAGCTTTATGCATTAAGATCACGTAACTGGAGAAAAATCATTAACACTGCCACTAATATGTAAATATTTATGTGTTTTTTTTTTGAGAATAGCAACAAGAGTGAATCAGTCAGCAAGGATTGAACATACTACAGAAGCAATAGCCTTCAAGATGAGCAAAGTAACTATTACTCTACAGTGGCTATCATTTCTAATATGATGGTATGTCCATATTCAAGATTTTGCCTCATGTATAAACAAATGTTTCTGGATTAGACAAAATGACAAATAGGTTCTTCTGGTGAAAGCAAATTTCAATATTTGATATTTAGATTTTCATAAAAAACAGTAAAAAATTAAAATACCAAATATATTAATAAAGTATACATAAAATATTTCATTGATTAAATTTCTTTGAGTCTGTACATACTGGAAAAAAAGCATATAATTTATATTACTTTACTGTATAAATGCTTTTAAAAGCTCATTTGAATTCTCTCAAAAATGTGTTTATAATCACTGTATCTAACATTTTGTTTAAGATAATTTAAAAATTCATAGGTCATTTTTATTTACATTAACTCATCGACTTATTCTTTATAACCATGTTAATAGGTTTCAATTCTTATATTTGACACTACAAACAGATTGTGCATAACTTAGCACTGCAAAACTAACAAGCATCATGTTATGTAGCAGAAAACACCTGCCAGGTAATTCAAGAGATATTTATGTAATTTTAATAAGATTGTTATTATTCTATTGAATGATAACATGATAGATTGATTTGTTTTCTAAAGCTTATCAACTCTTTTCAGGTTATTTAAAACCAGAAAATACTTTTAGAATGTAAGAATTTTTTTGTGGGGATAATGGTATAGTGATACAAGTCTTACTAATTAATCCCTAGCTGGGAAGTTGGGGAGGTGAATTCATACTTTCCCCTAAGGGTATTTGCATGTAAGTGAATATAATGAACCCAACAGGAATTGGAACTCAGCTCTCTGATTAACAATTTTGAACCATTATCCATTATACTACCTGCAAACGGTCACCCATCTAGGTACTGACCAGGCTCAACTGTTGAATGTACAGGAACTGATGTTTCAATGTGATGTAGCCGTAAGCCAAAAGTCAAGATGGACACCTTATTAAGCATCTTCAGTTTAAAATTGCTATAATAACCAATATAACAGTTTTTTTTTTTTTAAAATTCTTTTTATGAGTAAAATCAGTGGTGTTGATGTGATGTTAAAGATACAGTGGGTATTTTCACAATTGCTGATGAGGAAATGCTAAAAAGTTCTCAACCCAACAAAGAAAGGATTCCAAAATAATTTGGAATGTTTGGTCATATTGGGAAGTGGGTTGAACCAAAATTTTTCTTGGAGCACATGAAATTTATGTTTTTAATTTTGAGAAATCCCCAAAATTGAGGAGCCAAGATCTCATCTTGCTCTCTCCAAATTTGTATTATGGTGTATAAGAGTCAGACTGTATTTACAGGCACAGGTTGGTAAGGCTTAACAAGTATTTCATTAAGGGATGGTAAGTAAAATCTATTGAGAAAGAATTAAAAGATAACTTTAAAAAATTAAAACCTTACACTTTTGCACTGAAATCTTCAGCAATTGTCACAGCATAGGGATTTGTGAAAGCATTTGCTGAAAAATAACAAAAAAAAACATGAAAACAAAAGAGAATTTAAATTAAATTTGAAGATTTTATTAAAGAAAACATTAAAACCAATTTACAAAAAAAAAAAAAAAAGATAAAATCAAACAATGCTAAGCCAGTTGTTGTAATGATATATATTAGGGTCATTCTATTTCAAATCAACCAAGTCACAGGTGACCCTCTCAAAATATTCACAGGTGTTCCTTGATCCAAAATTTTGGCACCTTATAAATTTGATATTTAAAAAGATATGAATCTGAAAATTGGTACCCCTGCAATTTTCTATGCAAATAAACTATTTTTGTTTTCATATCTAATATTTGGGATTTATCAATAAATTTATTCAAGGAACCCCAATGAATATTTTAAAATTAGAGCATCTTTCACTGTATTTTTAGCATTTTATCAAAAAAGACTTTCAATGAACTTCTGACATTCATAGTACCAAGGATATTGCATGTGCAGATTTGAAACTTGGTGACAATAGTTAATATTTTAGATTACAAAAATATAAACAGTTTAGGCATGTGTTAGGTACTTTTTATTTTTATAAGGACCTGAAATTGGCTAAAATACAAAAACATGTTGTCCAATTTGAAATCTTCTCATTTACAAATATGTTAGATACAGCATCCAAATTAGTTTTCCAATCATTTATGTCCTAGATTATTTCTATGCAGTAACCATACTTATTCCGGTAATAGGAATGTCAGTATTAGTATTTGAAAATTTTTACCTTATATTCTTACATGTCTAAAGACCATGTGACAAGTTTCATTATGTGGACGAACTTCTGTCTGTGGTTAAAACATATCTTTCTAGAACAACTTGTCATGCCAAAAATGCAGTGAAAGATGCTCTGATTTTAAAACTATTAAAAGATACAGATCTAATATTTGTGTATTATCAATAAATTTGATCAAAGAACATCTGTATTTTCCCCAGGTTATTCTGAGAGGGTCACATGTGGCTGTTGGTTGATTTGAGTCGATCCTAGACATCCTGGTTAAAATAAAACATTTTGAGTTATAATACTAAATTTCTAATAAATTATATTTTATGTTTTTTTCTTTTTAAAACTAAATTTGTCTTATCATCGTAATTCTACATTTAATAGACTCCCAATGCTAAAAAAAAGTGATAAAATAATGTTATTGATCTATAATCCACTTTAATGTTGAAAATACCTTTCATATATGACTAACACCAGGAAATACCAGAGTTTCTTAATAGAAGTTAATGTCCTTCATGAATCTTAATCTAAGAAGAGTTGATCTGTAGTGACCCCCAATATATGTTGGATTCACTCTAAGAGATGCCAAAGTGAATTTTATCCTCAGGAAGTCAAAATATCTAGGTGCCCCAAGATTTGACCTAGAAGGCATCTGCTGCAGGAAAGTCATATAAATGCTCAATCTATGAGCTACAAAAGGAGGAGCATTCTCCCAAGAAAAAGATTGAATCTATGTTTACTTTATGTATGAAAAATGTAGTCACATATTTTTATTAGATATTACTATTATTACATATCATGGCTACATCATTTCTAATTTATAATAGACTATTAGCCAGAATTATAGAGCCATAATGTATATTATAGAAAGTTTTTCTGAAACATTATCAAAATCCCCCACCAACATGGTTTGAGTATAAATATTTTGGTTCACAGACATTAAATGGGTTATGTTCACCAAAATATATAAAAAAGTCAGTCCATTTGTTACCTCAACAGTAGACGAGAATATCTTAAGAAACTGACAGTTGGTAGAGAATTTGGAACCAATAATCATCTTACTTCAGAGTAAATTTAACTTAGAATTTCATTTATCATCTTATTCTTTCTGACAGCATTTATCCTCCTCTTATTTGTAGAGGGCAGCTAATTTCTACCCCCCCTCCCCATTGTGGACTAATCCCAAAGATGTGGCATAACTAATTAAGATTAAATCTGTGGTTATTTAGTAGTTGCACAATAACTTAGTGAGATTGGTCAAGTGCTCAAAAAAGCAAAAGTAAAATATTCAAGCAATTGATCAGCAAAAGAATCAGATGACAGATTAATGACATAGGATTCGACAAATAATATTGTTCTGAATAGTAGTCAGGTGACATACTTTTTCTCCTCCTTATGCATTCACTATTGTTTTACTTTTTGAGTTTTATCCTTAAAAAGAAACAAGCAAGCATCATTTTTTAATTATTCTATTGTTAAAAAAAACAAAAAAAAAACACTATAAAACAAAATGAAAACCTCAAACTATGAATCATGTTCCTTTATTGTCCTTTCTTCTCACTAAAGTCTTTCCATTCTCTTTCACTGCCTGCACCCACCCCCACATCCTAGTGGCATCATTGCCTTACCTGGGGTGAAATGTTAAAAAAAAAAAAAAAGAAAAAAAGTAAAGTATTTTTAAAAACTTTTAACCCTATTTTTAGTGTTTTGGTACTGATTCTCAGGTGTTAAGAAAAAGGTTAAAATAAAAATCACTTCAGGAGTACTAACAACATTTAAATATTTTTTTCTTAATTATAAAAACACTAAAAAGCTTAACAGTTGTTTGTTCTTTCAAATTTCAAAGCAAAATATAGAAAAAGGCATAGCTATACAAGTTTTGTTATGCACAACCTCAAACATTGTTTTTAGAGAGAGAGAGAGGGAAAAAAAAATTTCAGACCACCCTGATTCTTTAACATCTAACTACACCATACTTTTGGCAATATTTAATCAATATGATACAGGGAGATTTGAAATAAGGCATTTTCTCAACTGTTAATTAAAATTAGTTGTGAACGCCTTAAAAATAAAGTGTTTTAGAACCAAGTTAGTAGTAAAGTTATAAATGCTAAGTTTAGAATTGGTCAAAATTCAGGTCACAATTCTTAACTATTTTTCCACATTGCTACTGCCAAGAGAGAAAGATTTTGACCATCAGAGAATATATTTTAAAATCTTTCCTTGTAAAAATTGTATATTTCACTGCATAGGAGGCCAACATCTTTTCTTAATCAAATTTTCAGCAGTTACTCTTATTTTAACAATGTTACAACCGTGTGTGCAAGATGTACAAAGCATGTTTAGTACCAGTTAACTTTTCCTTTGTTTTTCATCAGAAAACGGAGCCATTTGAGCAAAGCGATAGTTGTTTACAGTGTTCTACATCAGTATTGTTCTACTTATTTTTTCTATTGTTTCTACAATTAATGTTCTCAAATTTCTTCCCAGCTAGTCCTAAATAAACACCAATAGATTCTCTATGCAGTTAAGATCTGGTGATTGACCAGGCCAAAGCATCATTGACAAAGACTGCCACTTAAAACATGACATTTTTGTTGTTTATTTTTTATGTGTGCTGGAACATTATCTTGTTTGAAAAAATCCCTTGTCTTTTATTTCTGTCACACAACTTGTCCAGTCTTGAAAGTAACCCTTTTTCTAATATATTTTTGGTACTGCTTTGCAATTAACTGATTTCATGCGCTGTATAAAATTGCCAATGTCAGGTACAGACAACCATCACATTATAATTCTACCATGCTTCAATGTGGTAGACAAACAATTTAAGTTGAATGTGGCCTTCAGAGACAGGCATGAGTCATTCTTCCAGAGAATATACTCAAAACATGGTTGTAATAAAGCATAGTGGGCTCCAACAAGAGGGACAAGCAGACATATGATTTTTAAGCCCCTAAATAAGAGTTTAGGGTCTAGAAACCCTAGCCTGCAGTGAAGAGCCAAATTCCTGAAAAGAACTTAAATTTTGCATTTAACCCTTTTAGACTTATTTCTGGGAGTTTTCAGCTCCAAAAATGGACATTGCATCCCTCAAAACATAGGGATAGAGGTCTAGATCATGATTTTCTAATAAATATAACAAAAATCATATTGAAAACTGATATTTCATTTAATCTATGAAAGGAACAGAGTAGGTTTTAAATATCTTTGAGAACATTTTTTGTATTATGCAGATTTAAATTGTTTTAATATTTGTGAACTTACTGTCACTTATAGTATTCATTTCAACAAGATTCTAATAAATTTTCTAGCAAAAAGAGACAGAAAAGCAACTATCCAAAACTGATAATCTAAAAATAAATGATTGAACTTTTGCAAGTTTTGACTAACTTCAAATGATCTTAACAAATACATGGGATCAGTACAAAGACCAGTTCTGAAATTCTAAGACTGTCAACTTTCACACTAGATATAACACATACCACTTGTTAAATATTTTTAAAAATGCCAGAAATTATTACCAACCTACTGTGTAATGTGACAAAAATTTGAGTAACTTCTAAAATCTTTGTAAACCACAATGGATTATCTGCATATTGTCAGTCTCATTAATTACAAGATGTAGTCATAGAATTGCTGCACATCTGACTAGTTCCATTTATACATCTCTGTTTGCTAATGTTTTGGTTACTGCAAAAGATTGTGCTGTCCACCTTTGACATTGTCATCCCATTGTTACCTTTGCCTCTTCTGTTTGCTAAGGTGGTATTGAAAATATTGTTGGCGATTGTGATATCACCTTAGCATTTGAGCTTCCTCTTCTTGATAGTGGTTACGAGGTCTTTCAACAGGTATGTTTCTCATCTGTTAGTGTTTCACACTGTCACATAAGAGATGTTTGGGACAGTTCTATAGCATCTCATTTCTAATGCTTGGATTCTTTACTGTAGTTCAGCTGTTAATGTCCTAAATTTGAAGATGTACAGAAAGGGTGCAAAAGCCTGTGCACACAACAATCTATTCTTTGACTTGAAGTAGTTCTTATCCTTTCACATAGTTCTTAGCCTTGCAAGAGTTGTTTATGCTGGTGTTGAAGTTATTTATATTCTGGAGCCATTTTTACTGATAATCAAGCCAATATATTTGAATTGTTGCACTACTATAGTTTGTGATTACTGACTTCTGTCTTGGTTGAAAGCCTTCTCTCATTTTTCATTATGAGTTTGTTTTATTTTGGCACTGATCTCTATGTCA